TTACATATTAAAATATTGTACAACATTTTGCTATGCATTACCGGCAATGCCTAAAAGAAGCGAACAAATTAGAAGACATTATAAGACAATGCGTTCTAGAACACGTTACCACTAAAAGCTGCTGGGTACATAAATACCTACTCGTACATACATACATACGTACACCTAAGAGAGTTCGATAGTAAATTGGTATCTACAATTAATGTAAGAAATGTTACAAGGCTATAAAATAAAATAAACAAGCAACCACCGGCAGGCAACAACAGCCGCCAAGTGAGACAGCAGCAATAACAAATGCGGTAAATGCCACACCAACGCCGTGTTGCATTTGACATCTTCAATTGTCAATTGCCGGCATTATTTTGTTGGTGGTTACCACCGCAAATACAACAACAAATACATCAACATCTGCTGTTGCCTTCTTGGTGGTGGCATCTGCTATGGCGACGACGGCGACGACGGCCACACCGACTGCGACTGTAACTGTGACAGCGACAGTGTAATGCGAGGTGAGCGCTGCTGCCGATCGGACCGGCGCACAGTGCCGCGACTCCATACAAATGATGGACAAAAATAGAAGGAGTGGTCAGAATTGGCTGAAACTTCACACCTAGAAGTATTATGCCCCTCTAATTTCAAAAATGAAATCGGTTTTTCTATACCGGTTACTCATTTCGAGAAAACCGAGTTTTTTTTGCATTTTTATATGAAAATAGTCATTGTGGACATGTGTTGATATAAGTGGAAGGAGGCATCAGAATGGGCTGAAACTTTACACCTGAAAGGACTATATCACGGCAATTTAAGAAAAAAAAAACGTTTTTCAGCATCTCTTACCATTTAATTAAAAAAAAAATTTTTTTACAATTTTATAAAAAGGCAAAATAACTCATAATCATCGTAGACATATGTTTATAAAAACCGAAATAGTATTCAGAACTTTTTGAAACTTTACACCTAAAAGGACTAAGCCATGCTTATTTCAAAAATGCAATCGATTTTTCGGTACCGGGTACCCATTAAAAAAAAAAAGATTTTTTTTTTACATTACTATATGAAAGACAAATAAGGCATAATCATTGCTGATTGTGGTGTTTACGAAAACAGGAAGGAGTCGTCAGAATTTATTGAAACTTTACATCTGAAGTGTCTATATTACTCTAATTTTAAGAAAGTAATCGGTTTTTTGTAACGGGTACCCATTAAAAAAACATCGAGTTTTTGCACATGATTATTTAAAAATGAAATATGCCATATCATTGTTGCTAAGTGTTCAGAAAAATAGTCTTAATAGTCAAAATTCGTCTAAACTTTACTTCCTAAGTGAATACATATGGTAATTTGAAAAATTAAGTCGGTTTTCCTTACATGTTAACCTTTAGAAAAAAAAATTCTTTTGATTTCATTTAAAATAAAGCATAATCACTGTTAAGTAAGTAAGTAATAATAGCTGTTATATGGTAATAACATATAATATGTTAATAAAAACCGAACTAGTTGTTATAATCACTCAGTTTCAGAGTCCTCAGAAGAGGAGGAAGTGATCACTGATTCAAATGATTCCATGCTTTTGTCTGCTTCGTCACTTTCAACAATGTATTTATTAAAGCTGAGATCAGAACCCTTTAAATATTTGTTTCTCTGTTTTATATTTCTTTTTGTAAACTGGTGTCATTGCTCTATATATATATATATATATATATATGTACATATATATATATGTAAATCTTCGTATACCTTTGTTTTTGGCTCCCATACCGTGATGCATATTTAAGTATTTTAATTAGCTGATAATTTTTTTCATTTCAAAGCACCCTGTACCTCTTAACTTTTGTTTTGGCACTTTTAGCTTTAATTCAACACCTTATTTTTGAAGAGCGAACCAAAAATTTAGATCTTAGGGCATTCAGAAAAAGTATTGTAAATATAGATCAGCTAAAATAATACCAAAAAAAGGCATTTAGTCACTTTTTCAAAATTGAAAATTTTCAAATATTGGAAAAAGTTGGAAGAGATTTCGATTGTTTCTGTTAGTAGAAGGTCCAAACTACCATAACCAAAATTTTTCAAAAAATTTCACGAACTTTCAAGATGTTTTTTTTTTTTTGTCTCCAAAGGTTGCCAATTTTCGGATTTTGGTATGTTTAATCATATATTTATTTATTAATAAAAAACAAATATTTGTATAAATTTTTTTTCCATGAACCATACATTTTTTGGTTTGTCGCATATATCTTTATCAAAGTGCAAAAGTTGATCTTGCTAGGAATAAAAATGTATTTTTAACAAATTTTTAACTGCGACCACTTTTATGTGCGAATCGCCGAAATGAAATGGTATGTAGAAAATAGGTGTACTTTGAGGGGGTGTGTGAGGCTGAAAGTTGTTTTTATCACAAAATAACTTATGAACTTCTCTTAGTTGGAGATTTAGCTGTAACTTGACATCAAAACATCTAAGTTTCAAGACAGTCGATTTTTGTATTTTTGTCCACCTTCGCGGCACTGTGCGGCGGCCAATTTCATGCATTATCAACTGAGTTGTAGTTGTTTGTTTTCTTTCCCTTTTCAACGGTGCCTATTCACTTAGTGTTTGTTTCTCTTGGTCCACCTACAACTCATTTTACGTCGCCATCGCTGTGGTTTGTTCTGGCGTCGCAACATGTTGCGTATTTATTTTCTTATTTCCCTATATATAAATTGTGCGTATCTACTACTACTACTAGCGACGAACGAAAAGGGCGGTTCTGCATGTCATCGTAAACTTGGTTTGGGGCACCGCTGGCTTCCTGCCTCCGTCTGGACCGGACCGGCACACAAAACGGCTAATTTACTTTTCACCAACAATTTTCTTTTCATATAAATAGCTTATCCTAGATCTCTGCATGCTTCTGTGTGTGTGTGTGTGCATATGGACGTGTGTATATAGACATATCCTGGGTGGTGGCACTCACTAAAATTTCATAATAGTACTTTGGTTTAATTGATTACTGCCTCAGCCTTATTTGCCCCTTGAGATATTCTTAAAACGCAGGAGGAGGCTTAGAGGATCGGCAGATAAAGATGGCTGATTGCTGACTTCTGTCTGGGGATGATATTATCGGGGGGTTGTTACCTCATTTCATGGTACAAAAAATTGCTTTCTACACAAATAGTACATACATACATACATACATTATGATGATGCTAATGATGATGTTGAACTTGTCGACATGACGTGACGTGAGCACTTACTCATAAATTATGAGGCATTGCGTTTGTAATCGATATTTGTATTTGTATTTGAAGTATGTATTTTTCTTCGTTAGTAGGTATGTATGTTTTTATGACTGTACATATTGCCATTCATGAAGGTACATATACATAGATACAATTAGATCCACGCGACAGTCAGTTTACATTTCGCACACCTAAATCTAAAGTGCGATCAACTCAAAAAAAAAATGTCTTTCGATTTTTTTTTGCATAAATCAATTCATAGGACTCACACCCAATTAATGCGAATATTTTTTCATCATGATTATATATAGATACATGTACATTAACTAAACCACTACTAGTATAGGTACCTGTTTTTTTTTTGTTAACTGCGTTGAATCTGTACAATCCACAATCCGTTATATTTCCCTCTCTGAATTTTGAGTTAACTCACTTTAGTTCTAGGTGTGCGATATTTGCATCCCCTACTGTAATTGAGGCTGAGATTTATTCGGCGTATAAAAGTTTCAACTGGGTTTTTTTTTAAATCTTGATTTTTACATTATCGAATAAACCAGATTTTCTTTATCGAACAAAGTGTTTTTTTTTTTTAATTTCATACAAATATTGACCTCCCAATGACAGTTTTGAGTTTTTTCGAAGTTTTCAAGGCTTTTTCCTGTTTAAGGGAAACCCTTAAATAGTTTAAAAATTATATCCTAGGTCATTTGGGATGAACAGTATATAATATTTGTTTCCAATAAGAGCCTATGCACACTACAGATAAAAAAAATTTAGTCAAGTTGGGCTGTGGTCACGGTTGCCGAGACGCGTGAAAATGCTTCATTTTAATACGGGCATGTTTGATTCGAATATTTGCATTATACGTAGTGTATGTGTAATGAAAAAATCCATTTTGTTAACGCTTTTCACTTGATTTAAAAACGAACATTTTTAAACGGTAATCAGATAAAAAATGTTTATTCTTACAACACGTTTTTTTTCTCAGTGTAGTTATTTTAGTTTAATACTTAAATTTAAAACGTAGATAATCTCCAAATCTAGGGTTAACTCACAAAAAACAAGAAACGCGGTAAATAACCAACACCCTAAAGTAATACATCTATGTGTACGTGTCTGTGGTGTAGGTAAAAAAACAGCATCCCGACTTCCCTTTTACGTCTGCAATTATTGTACATATTAGGGGCGTTCTCTGGGTCTTGCAAAGGCTTTGCACGGTGCACGGATTGCACGGTTTGCAAAGCTGTGCCATACGAAAACCGGTTTTTACTTCGCAATCCGTGCAATCTGTGCACCGTGCAAGGGCTTTGGAAGACTCAGAGAATACAAAGATGTTCCATACGCAGGCCCGTCGAGAGGGAGGTGGGAAAAGGGGTCAATTCCCCGGGCCCGGACTTTTCAAGGGGCCTGAAATATGAGACCCATAACTTATTATTTTTTACAATGAAATTGCTCCTTCGTTATAGGGCTTTATTATAAATATATTCCGATTCGTTCGGATTGCTTCTGACTCTTTGCATTTAAGAAAATGATCACTTGCTTTTAAGTTAATACAATTTATATATAGGGGCCCGAGTTTTCTCTCGACGGCCCTGCCCATACGAAAACCGGTTTTACCGTACAATCCGTGCAATCTGTGAACCGTGCAAGGGCTTTGCAAGACGCGAAGAATACCGCTATTATTTAAGTTAAGGCGATATGAGACACCATAGACACACTCGTACATATGTATGTATATACATTAGGTGTATAAGCTAAGACTAACTCTACATACAAAGCTAATAGATTCATATAGAAGTATGCAAGAAGTATTTTAATAATTTAGTATCGAAGAACTGATAACGTTCGAGAACGTTGGCTGGTTGCGCTAGCTGCCACCTCCTAAAATGGCCGAAATGCTAAATCCTTTCCGTTTGGGTGGCGAATGGCTTATTATGCTCTCCAGTTGGAACATCTGTGTCACATTAGCTTCCACTGCAGAATTTGATTTCCCCTCTTCGCTATCAATGGCTCGCGGCAGCGGCTCCACAGTTTCGACGCCAAGCGAATGAGGGGGAATTTCGGTGGCATATACAGTGGTCGATGAATCGACAAGCGGCGGACATGAAAATTGCTCAGGAGCTGATGGCATTGCAGCGGCCACTGTTTGATCTTCGGCGGCAGCGTTTGGTGGGTGCCCGTATTGTGCATAAATGGGCTGCGATCGGCCGAAATAGGTACAAGCCAAGTCGACAAGCGTTGGTCGCAGCATTGATTGCATGTTTTGCTGTAAATGTTGCATGAATGACGTGTGGCCACCGTTGGCGAAGACAACTCCACCACCAGCAGCAGTCGTCGGCTGTGGTAGCTGCGACGACCATTCAAATAAGGACGGTTGCAAACTCGTTTCTTCAGCCACAAACAAATGAGAGGCGCGTTCGCTGCCCGCATGCGCATTAACGATCATCTCCTCCAGCGGTGTCGATGCTATCGACCCGGCGGACTCATTTGATCTCAGGCGCTTAATTTGCGGTCCATCGTCATCTGTATCGGCATTCGCCGCCACAATGTCAACGTCTACATAGGCGATGTCGTCGCTGTTGGGATGCGCCGCCTTATCGGAACAAATTGATGATCCCGCCGACTCGCTGGTCACTGCCAACGTTGTTGACATTGTCGGCGACACAACAACACTACGCTGACTGTGGGAATGACTTTGTGACTGCGATTGTAGTTGTCTTGCTCCGTGGTGGCGCCCAGGTTGTTGATGGCATTGCGGTTGATGTTGTTGTTCAGAGTCCTCATCGGAAGGCGATGAAGACATTTTGCGTTTACTTCGCGATTGGCCTGTTTCGCGGAACCCTTTCGCGAACGGGTTGTTGTCGATCTTCAATTTGGTGATGCGATCATTCTGTGAAATGCAAAGTGCAAAGATTAGAACTACAAAATGTATTTGTATGCATATAAGGTTATAAATGTACATATGTATGTGTAGATATATGTACACAATACAATTTACGATTTTGTTCAATACGCGTCAGGTGGCGTATCTACATACCTAAATACATATAGTAGATACATATGTATGTACATTAAATTTCAGCAGCTAAATGCTGTGCGAGCTGGCAGACTCGGGAGATAGTTTTCTGCTATAGGAATACTACAGGTTTTATTTGTTTCTTTTGGTTATTCGTGGCCTAATACTTTATGTATGTACCTATACGCTTGAAATAGTAGTTTGTAACTGTATGTTAATACAAATTTTTATGTTCACACATATACCCACACACACACACACACATACATATGTATGTATGTATGAGGCAAGCCATCAGGAGTCAGGCCATAGCCATGACATAACAGTTTTGGTAATTTTAACGCTGTCAGAGAATGGACATTGATTTGGTTAATTAGAAATGTTCAGACTGGCGCCCTGAGTGAGGAAAACAAAAACACAGCAAGCGCTCAAATTATCCATTCAGACATGTATCTACTTAACTGGCACAAAAACTCGACGTGAACTTACTGGAATCGGTTGCAATTTTCGGGTCAATAATAGGCGTTCCATGCTAATTTGTTCAGACGACCAATGTAAATTTGTGTGCCCCTTTTGAGTGGGCCCGGCGTTTTGTGGTGTACATATGTATGTATGCATGTATGTATATGTATCTACAAACATATCCACTTACATATTGAACATGCATACATTCCCAGTCGGCAAAATGACGAGCGTTTCTAAATACATAAATGCCTTCAGGGAGAAATTTTTTGAAAATTTGCTATAAAAATTTTAAATGTTTTAATCAGATTTTTAGAAAAATTTAGGGTATGCATTTTTATAGCCAATTTAATTTCAGTATAATTAGGTGCAAGTTCGAAGTTGTGCACTTTCTTCGATATAAATATACAAGTACAGCGGCGTAGCCAGAATGAAATTTAGGGGGGGTCTCGACCCTATTAAGCTGGCATTTCAGGGTACGATTTTATACACAATATATAAGGAAAATTTGAAAGTTAGGGGGGCGGCTCGAGCAGCCCCCTGCCCCTACCTGGCTACGCCCATGTACAAGTATTTTAGAATATACATAAGTATTTCGTGTAGATGCAAATGCGAAACGCCACCGAAATTTGTCACTCGAAGGCCAAACAGAGGTACAGGATCGTAGGGGATTACCCGGCAGTTCTGGTTGTCCTACGACCCACTTAAATCCAAAGCTCTCTTAGGAATGAGCAAAGAAGACACCTACAAACTTACTGCAGTATGCACAGGGCACTGGCCCGTCGAAAACTTCCTGTGCGAGTATCCAGTCCTCGCAAGGATGAGGCTAAAGACACTCTGCAAGCCATTCCTGTAGAATGTTTTAGAGTGCTGCCTCCCTCTGTATGACGTAAGAAATTCATTAAAGTCGCCAAATGGATGTAGGTTGCACGAGTTCTGGAATTAAAATGGCAAACATTCTCAAACTATTTTTTTTTACTTTAAATGTTTCTATTTACACAAAATTGTAATTGACTGCTTGATTTACAGCAAATTTTACACACAAACAAATTAATATATTCGCGAAACTATGGGTAAATTATAGTAAAACTGCGTGCTTAGTTTTTCTCTCTGGCGTCAGGACTTTTTTTTAAAAGGATTTTGAAATTTTAAAAATATCAAAAAATAATTTAAAACATTCCGTGCAATGTAAAGAAAAAATCCTGTAGAATTATAACAGAATAAATTTTTTGGTGCATAAGGACGAATGGGTATAGAAAATGTCCTTTACAAATTTTGTCCTTAAATATCCTTAAAATTTGCAATATGTTTTTTTTTTTAATTATTGCTTGAGGACAAATATACGCACGACCTCATCATCGAATTTCGTCGTGCAAACTTTATTAACTTAAAAAGATAAAATTTATTAAAATCGAATTTTCAATACCTATTCGTCTTTTTAAACCAAAAAACTTTATTATTTTTAAATTGTACAGAATTGTCTCTCCCATTTGGTTCCCATATTGTTATTCTACATTGCATTGATTTAAAAAAAAAAAAGAATTTTTGAATTTAGCATACCTTTAAAATTTCAAAGTTCTTTGAAAAAAATCCTAATGTCAAACAGTGCCGCCTAAGACGTTACCGAAGATTTTATGAGCGGAAAATTTTATTACCAAAAAGTTGCCACCTCTTAAAAAATTAAATTAAAATTGTTTAATAAGTTAAATGAATTATTAATAGATGAGTATCAATCGAAATGTGTATGAAAAGGGTTACATTATTAACTACATGTAGAGGGTTGCCACCTGTTAAGAAATCAGATTCCATTGGAACTAAAGGACTTAGGTTATTTAAATAGATAGGTATCACCATATGGGAGTCAGACGAAAGAGATTTAAGACGGTTTTAGCTTGCAAATACTACGAAGAGGGTTGCCACCTCTTTGTAAAACAAATCAAATGTAGTTAAACTAAAAGAATAATTGTGTCAAACCAAAGGCTTACGACATCGCATTTGTTATTTTATTACAAATACATACAAATGATGATTTGTTCTGATTACATTCCTTTTAAATTACTAGACTCTTAAATTAACTCTGATTTGTCTGATACTCATATTGATATATGTATGTACATATTTGAGTGACCTTATTCCCTTAATTAAAATGAATTTGATTTGTTGAACATGTGGCAACCCATCTACGTGTCGTTTTAAAGTAAAGCATTTTCAAAACTATTTCAATTCATACCCATATTGCAATATCTAGTTCATTTAACTTATTAAATAATTTTAATAAAATTAGTAACAGGTGGCAACCCGTTTCAAACAAAACTTTATTGCACATCTATATGCCAAGTCCTGCCATTTGTAAATACCTATGTAAATGCCACAAGAACCCAAATTTTCAACTTCAAACTGCATTCATTAATTTAAATCCGTCCATAATTCTATTTTTGCCCACATTTCATATGGCAGCGATGCACTGTGCGTCAGAGTGAAGAACTAAAAACGCAGTTTTACTATATTTGGTCCATAGTTTCGTGAGTATGTACACATATCGATTCTTTCGTGTGTTTTGAAATTTTTTTTCTTTTTGTCGCACAGTATTATAGACAAATTTTATACATAAATATGTATGGTACATATCGAGCCCTAACCGCCAAAATAACGTAAGCGACATTTTTTTCAAATTTTTCTTTTTGATGCAAAAATGCATCTAGACGCTCTAGGAATATTTCTGCATCAAAAATAAAATTTTTAAAAAATGGCGCTTACGTTATTTTGGCGGTTAGGGCTCGATATTTTGAAGGAAATTGATTTCGTTATTTTCTTGTTCAAATGCATGTGTTATCTATTTTTTTTACCGCCAATAAAATGCTACGAAAATCTTTTTTATTGCATATTTGACTAATTTAAAGCGCATATTTTTGAATTTTGAGTGCATGCGGTTCCGAGCCCTAGCTACGACACTGTAGCATTCTTTAGAGCAGGACCAAATTGAAAAAATAATTTCTACGAAGAGAATTTATAATAAATAGCTAATCGCAGAACTATGTTGCTTAGTAACCTGACGGTGAACTCCACTTTTTGTATGAAAATAGGTAATGTCCCGAAATACATAATTCCAAAAATCGCGCGAAACCTAAAGAGGACCAGTATTGAGTGCCCCGGTATATACATACATACATACATACATTTATAACGACTGCCAGCATATTTACATATGTATTGTGACTAACCTGATATGCCGTAACTGCTACAAACTCGGTTTCCGGAAATATAAATGCCTGTTGTGGCGCCCAAGGTATTTGAGTTAAGTCTGCAGTTCGTATCACATGTATGCGTGGTTGATACTTGTGCATGCTGGCCAAAACAATCTGTAAATAGAAAGTATACAAATATGTACGTACATACATACATATGAATGTACCTATAATTGTATGCATTTGCCAATGAATTCTAAGCTGTGATACCAAGCACATATGTATGTACCTTTAAGGATGTCTACATACCTACAATACTTACATACTTATGTACATACATACAATGTGCAAACAAATATGTATTCTTACTATAAATATACATATGTATGTACATATGTACCCAGCTGCGAAAATGCTGAGAACGCCACCAACTACAGAGTCGACACCAAAGTAATGCCAACGCATTACAATATGCCTGAACTGCTTCTCAAATGTAATCACTTCCAATGTATGAAATACTTACTAAATCAATGTTTTTCGAATTACTTTCATCGATTACCGCCAATGTCACGCAATGTTAAATGTAATGTATACTTCGAAAGCGGAATCAAATGCCATTACTTGTCATAGGTGAGGCATCGATGCGGAACGCATTCCATTCGCTGCTGGGTATGCACGTATGTACGTTTTTGAACCCTAATACATACATGTGTATAATAAATTATTATTATTTTATTATTTATTATTATTATTAATAATTGTTACGTCTTAAAGGATGCACATATCCTAAATACCTACATATGTATGTATATAAATATTGATAATACAGTGGAATCGCGATAATTCGTACCCCGTTTATTCGAAAATCTGTATAATTCTTAATAATATGTTGGTCCCTTGGAAAAATTACGTTAACTCGCAAATTTCCCTGGTTGATTCGTATCTTTTTGACAATGGATATTAAGGACCATTTCTTATAAATCGTAATTTGTTGTGACAACCCTTTTGTAATGCTTAGCGCCAAGAAATTTGCTGTGCAGTTGTACGTTTATCTAATAGTTCGCTTCCACCAGGTCTTAACTGTAGTTTATGCCTATTGGAAAAAGAAGATTACAACTTGAAGGGGGAAGTAGTTCATATTAAGTACAAGCGAACAAAAAGAAAAAATTAACTTTTCCGATCACCCCATGTTGAAATTCTTGGAACTTATCTTATCTCCTAACTGCAGCTAAGCCTTTGGGGGAAATAGGCTATAACGTTAACTTTTTTGTTTGAAATTATCCGTAAGTATTTTTTTTCCTGGTCAGTAGAGTTTAGATACATGGAATACAGTACTTAAGAAAAATTAAAAATTCATATAAAATTACACCCAAGAAGTGAAAAATAAATTTTCTTCTGGTACATTTAATTTTTCAAGAAAATTTACGACAACGATGACATACTTTTTCAAGCAACATAAATAATGAAAAAAATATTACCTCATCAATTCCTAAAATGTGACTGGTCCCTTGCGATTTCGAATTATTGGGATCCCACTGTATATAGTTATGTATACTATATAAATACATACACATCGCCGTTTAAAGTACAAAACCGCGTATTAGGATAATGAAAAATCTCGTAAGTGAGGTTGCCCTAATTTTACAAGAGAGAGTGAAACCTGTTTTATTCCATAACTTGCGCCCCAGCCCGCACCTGCGTACGCCCATGCAAATGTCAGCTGCGAGGTTGTGCGCTTTAAACGACGATATGTAGGAGGTGTATGGATAGACGTAAAGACGTAAATAATTATGAGAAATGATAGTAAGAAAACATACTTACATGACCGTTACTGTCCAGGGTGTTGTTGGTAAGTTTCACTTTGTTAAATAGAATAGGTTGCGCTTGCCAGTGAGCCCCAGATGCAGGACTATCTGGGTGCAAATACATCCGTTGAGGACTCTGAGGCTCCGCGCCGCCAGCAGGCATCCATTGAGATCCAGAAAACTTGTAGCGACAATCGCCGATCGGAACCATCTCCAACAAAACACAGTAGTTAGAGTCATCCTCCAGGCCGGAAAGCGAAAGACGCATTGATGGAAACATTCGTCTGCATAAAAAAAATATAGAAATAAATGTATATTCATGCAGCTTTAGAGTGAGAATGGTTAAAGTAAACTTTTCCAACTAAATTTTTTTTTTTGAATTATTTGTGTAGAGCTTCTAAGTACTCGAATTTGTGTCGTGCGTCTTGACGTAGATGCACAAATGGAAGGACGTATAATTTAACGCCGCGTGATAGGTGGATTTTTATAAGAAGCTTTTTCATGAGAGATTTTCCCTCGAAGATTTTGCATTTCCTGCCGAGGGACGACCGCTCTATGGGAAAACATAGGTAGTACGCATGACAATTGTGTTTTTTTTTGGAAAAACCAGAACAAATATTTACATATGCACGGCTACATATATTCTACCAATAAATGAAGCAGTGGTACTATGTTGCAAAAAAACTACATTTAGTAAATAAATTGGTTTTACTTAGTTCGTGGGCGTATGCACAATAGGGTGGTCCAAAATAAGTAAAGTCGGAATTTTAATGCTCTCACCCCCTATATCGAAAAAATATACCCCTATTTTTATTTTAAAATCAAAAAATATTTAGAGGTTCTTCAAAGCGCTCACGGGTTTCCATGTATTTTATATGAAAAAAACTTTTCGTAGAAATGGTATGGAATTCTTGGAAATCAATATTTTTCGATCAGAAAACTCTGCTTGTCTTCAGGGGACTGACAATAGCGATGTCCAATTATTTATTTAACCATTTTTTATTACTAAAGATTGCATTTTCTGGAATTTTCTGGGAGTTTTGGCGGACCTATAAAATATAGTTACTTTAAAAGAATGGTTAAATAAATAATTGGCTTGAGTTTTCCGATCGAAAATTATGGATTTTCAGGAATTCTATATCATTTCTACGAAAAGTGTTTTTTTCCTCATATAAAATACAGACATGGAAACATTTGAGCGCATTGAGCCAACTCTGAATATTTTTTGATTTCAAAATAAAAAATGGGGCTATAATATTTTTCGGTATAGAACAATCCTAGGGGGTGAGAGCATAAAAATTCCGACTTTACTTTTTCTCATGCATTTTGGACCACCCTAATGAGCAATCGTATTCATGCAGGAACTGCCACTTCTGTTTGTACATACATACATATGTATGTATGTATGCTTGAACAACGGATTGTTTTTAATGGCTAAAAGGATGCGTCGAGCGGCCAGCAGGTGTCCAAGCATCCGGCGCCAGTGAACACACTAATATTTTCTGTCTCAATTTGTTTGTGCGCTACCTTTTCGACTTTATTTCCAAACCATGGAGTAATTTGTGGGACAACGCGTAAATTTTTTGTTTGCTGATCGTAGCGAACATGGAGTCAATGATAGCTGCGAAATGATTAATTACCCTGTACGACATTTTCAGTTGTTTTTTTTTCTGGGGAATCGAACCAAGTTTTTCTGAAAGTCTGGATTGTAGTATATAGAAAAGTTATTTCTCAGTTTTCCCAAGTTGGCGATTCTTAGCGTTGGTGGACGCTAAGCAGCTTGTTTAAAAATGTTCGTATTTGAAAATAATAATTTTATACCAAAATTTAGCACGCACGTATCTGAGTATGCTCTGAGGGGGGAAAATAAAACATGTTTACTTGTCTGGCTGTAGCTGAGTGCGACAAGATTCTTGCCACAATTTGTTGATTTCAGGGTGCGAATTCCATTGTAGGCAACATGGAAATAAATTTTTTTTTTTTTGTCTTAATTATGAAAAAGCATCCGCGACGTGCAAAACGCCATACGTGCAAAAATGCTTCATTTTATTATGGGCACAAATTTGATTTGAATATTTTCCACTATACAGTACTTTTATTGCATAAAGTTTGAAACTTACACTTATTAAAGAAAGAACTATATTTTTATAAAAATAACCAAAATTAAATAGCAAAAATATACAATATGTTAAAACTTGTCATAATGTGGTGCAGCTATAATTTTTTCGACCGCTTTTTCTTTGTCTTTCGGTCAGATTTCTCTTGGTTCAAGGTAGGTTGGTATTGAAAATTAGTGAAATCCGGTATTTTTGAAACATGCAAAAACTGCTATCTACATACATATATCTCAGTAACTGCTGGAGCTAAATTGCCCAAAATCTTTAGCATAAAATAAAATGTGTATAAAGTAATAAATGTGTACATACTTATAACGAAATGTGTGCACCTTAGTAAGTAAGCGATTTAAAATTTTGGCATGGCGTTGACAATTTTTTTAAATTGGGCTGTAATCACGTCCACGTCGCATGTTACCGTACACTAAATAGTATTAAACAGTAGTGTAGGCTTTGAAAAGAACATTAATAATTATTATATAATCTAAATACTTAAGTAGGCACATACATATGTATAGTATGGATACGGTGACCATCCGTCCTGTATTATACGGGACAGCCCTCTTTTTTTACCCATTGTCCTGTTAATTTATTTATTTTATACGGGACGCTAAATGTTCTGTATTTCTTTTAATGTCCCGTATTTGGTATTTCGCCCACTTAAGAGCTCATTAAAATGGCATGTCTGTGAACGAGTTTTAAGTGATGTTGGTATGTGATCGTAATTTTCTCCATAAATATTATTTTCTAATCTGAATGCCTGTGATTCGAATCGAGGATAACATACAGTGACTACAATAAAAATTAGCACTCGACATTTTAGTAAGTTTTGGATATTTTCCTTAGTTTATTTAAAATTTATTATTTATGAAAGTAAAGCTCTTTTCCTAACAAAAATCATATAATATCAAATTACCAACTTTGTGCCAAAAAACTATAAAAATTAATTCTGCAATATCTCACTTACTCTGTACGAAAAAATACGCAACACCGTCAACAAAAACAAAAATTACCAAAAACTAATGGCAAGCCTTAGCGACTTAATATTGCGCTTTATTATTCTAAAATTTAACGAATTTTTTAAACAAATTTTTCGGGGTAAAAATCTCGAGAAAATCATCCTACAAATTTTTGATTTTACTAAAAGGATACTGTTTCAGGGTTAATACATCTAAGTTCATTGAAGAAGGCTTTCAGATCTGTAAGCTGTGGTGGAAAGAATTTGCAAAATTATTTTTGTCCCGTATTCGGCTCTCATAAATATGGTCACCGTAAGTATGGAGAGTGTACATTCATATGTATGTACTTATACATGAGAATTGAGTTACGGATATGTACACGAAATGAAAATTTTCATATCAGTCATTTTATAACATGAATACAATGTACAATCGCAATCGGTAGCATCTCTAAAGCATCTCTCAGTTAATTTTCCTTTCTGCAGTCCTGATGTATTGGTATCTATTATATTCGAGGCAGTGATCTCGGCAGCATTTCTAGATACATATACAGATCGTGTTCGTCACATGTCATATCTACTACGGACAGGTATCGATTACATGTGGCGGCCTTTAAACATCGTCAAATCACAACTGGCGCCCAACAATTAAAAATTCAAATAATACAAATAACAAATAAAAATTGTTAATGCACACCACTATTGACTGCATGTGAACGTACTACATACATATGTACACACATGCACACATACATACATATGTATGTATTTACTTATGTATGTAAGAGAGGCTTGAAATTCCGCCACTCGCTACTACTCATAAATAATTCATGCAGTCCGAATCAGCTTCTTCCTAAATATTTTTCTGCCCGCTTGCATTTGGGCGATGATTGTGTGAGAAAAAAACATCCAGAGATTTTGGTCAATTTCAAATTATGCTAATACCTGAGCGCTACCAGAAACGTACATATGTATGTATGTACGTAGGTAGTTAATAAGGCGCTTCGGTGCAGCAGATACCGGCAAGACGGAGGAGAGCTCTGGTAGTTCGATAGCTACCGTAGCCAGCCAGCCAGATATTTTTGCTTGGCTTCGTTGGGTCGTTTAACGCGGCTCTGCCTGTCTCTTGCTTATCGGCCGTCCGATCAGAATGCTTGTTGAAAGTGTGAAATTGCTCGTAGTATCTGTCGGACAATGGATGACACGCTGCGGACTTTGTCAACGCATCATTTTTTATGTGAGCTACAGAAGGTCGCAGCGCAGCGACACATTACTGGCGCCGAATTGGCCAATGTTTGGTTGAAATGGTCTGAAACGCCGAAAACTGTCGACAATCGAAAACGTTACCAATGACTTTTTACTTGAGCATTTTTACAGACAATCTTCGATATATGTATGTATGTATGTATGTATATTTATGCTTTTATGTATGCACGTAAATACATACATACCCTGTAGAAAAAAATTATCAATTGATAAAAAATAACCAACTTGTAGGTAGCTTTTTGGCGGAATTTTTATAAAATATATAATTTGTAGTTAGCTACAAAAAGCTAACTTGAAACTAGTTGAACAGCAGCGCAGACGTAATCGGGAGATTATTTTCTTTAAACAAGTTTCGTTTTTGATATCCTCATACAAATTTAGCTTTAAATACACTTTCTTTCTGCACTTCACAAATGCTTTTTCGAATTGAGGACTAATAAAAGGAAGAGCAAACATGGGACCACCTACAGCAGAATATATAAACAAATACATATGTGATGTATCTAATAAAATAATGTAAATAAATAAAAAAGTAAAAAACAAACAAAAATTGTTTTTCTTATTGATATTTTATGTTCAAAATTAGTTAGTTACAAGTTAGTTGACACCTAATGCAGAGGTAACCAACCTTGGCTGTTTCAAGGCCATCCCCATAGAAACATAGTTAGGGTAGATTAGGGTATGCAAAGGTACATACATACATACTATGTATTAGGCTTGTGGAGCTTTTGTACTAAAGAGCGAAAGAGCCAGCTCTTTTAATTGAACTAGTTCATTAGTTCGTTCATTAAAGTGAACTAAATTTTTCTGTGCCAACCCTCCAATAAAAATTGAAATGTAATTTTAACAGATATGACATCTCGTTTTTCGTTGTAAGGGCATCAAGAAAAAACTGATCGGAATTCGCGCTAAAAAGACATTTTATTACTAATATTTTACATTATTT